TCAAGAGAGTTACATCAGGAGTGTTCTAGAGAGATTCAATATTTGTCGCACCAGCTCGATCCCCGCTTCCCCTGCCAACGATAGCAGGTCCGTGATGGAGGATGAGGAGGCAGGAGATGTGCCGTTCAGGGAAGTGGTGGGATGCCTGATGTGGATCGCCAACAATACGAGGCCAGAAACTTCGAACGCTGTGCGGACGGTGGCGAGACACTCTCACGAGCCCAAGAAGAGTGACTGGAAGGCAGCCCAGAAGATTTTGAGTTATCTTAAGGAAACGGCACATCTAACTCTGAAGTACAAGCAGGACACTACGGTAGACGTAGGCACGTTAGTGTACGTAGACGCTGACTTTGCCAGCAAGGCCACTGACCGTAGATCAGTTTCTGGAGCATTAGTTCGTGTAGCTGGCTGTCTTGTGTCTTGGTTTGCTTGGACGCAGAAATGTGTATCACTGTCAACTTCTGAAGCAGAGTATATTGCGATGGGTGACGGTGTTAAGGAGGCTCTCTTTGTGAACGGGATGCTTCAGTTCTTGAGACCTAGTGCGAAGCCTCGGAAAATTGACGTCTTTGAGGACAACGAAGGAGCGATTGCGCTTGCAGAGAATCCGCTTAGCTCGAGTAGGAGTAAGCACATTGACGTGAGGCACCACTTCCTTAGGAATTTGACGGAGGAGGGCGTGATCGAGGTCACCCATGTCCCAAGCAAGGTGCAGCATGCTGACATCCTCACAAAGGCTCTACCGAGAAACCTTTTTGAAGTTCACCGTGACTTTGTCCTTGGCTCAGTAGCTGAGAAGTAGAGATCTGAGTTAGTATCTGATTTGTATTATTAGGTCTGGTCGAGACGACAGCCCCAAGGGAGGGTGTTTGTGAATTGTGGCTGTAGTATCGAGTGTATGACGTGTATTGCGGTGTAGTAGGTGATACTTGGTATTGTAACGAAACGTAACACAAAGGTCAGTAGATTGCAGCAAGTAGATTGCAGCGAATAGATTGCAGCGAATAGATTTATTGCTGAGGAAAAGCTGTAGCGAGAAGCCATGGGGGGCGCAGCCCACCGTGTTCACTCCACCTTGCCGACCTGTCTCTCCGGGCAAGTTCTCATTAATACACCACATATTTCTCCAGAAGTCACGAGTTTCCAACATAGACATCACCAATGTACGGGGAGGTGTGACAAAACAGATGTCCAAAACGCCAGGAAAACATGTAACGATGGGATTCGGGGAGGCAGACGTTGATGCGGTATGCTGCTCGAGAAATCGTAGAAACACGGGGTCATGATACAACGTCATTGCAAACCTTTCGTAGACTCTTACAGTTTGTGCTCCCGTTTACAAAAAGTCAGTTTGGGCTCCAGGTTCGATTTCTTACTTCGTCACCACCGTCGAACACAAGTCAAGTTGACTTCCTTCCATGGAATCTGTTTTTTCTGTTTCAGGTTCCAGCTTCCATGATGTTTCCATGGAAGCGGTAAACAACTTCCATGGAAGTTAGTCCGCGTTCATGGAAGTTGGTCCGTTTCCATGGAAGCACCCGATAGCGCGACGAGCTTCCATGGGAGTACTACTTCCATGGAAGCTCGTGCTTGCGTGGAAGCTGGTCGCTCGACAGAGTCTCTGCTGCTTCCATCCACGCAAGAAAACTTCCATCAAGGCAACTTCCATGAAAGTGGATGACAGAGGTCGAAACCGACTTCCGTGGAAGTACCGAAATTTCCATGAAAGCAACTTCCACGGAATCGTCTGGACATGTTGTCTCTCCAGCTTCCCTACCCTAACCCTAACCCTAACCGTAACCCTAACCCTTACCCCGAAAAGACCCGAAAATACGAGAAATACCATGGAAACTAACCCGATGCTGGATACTTCCATGGAAGCAGACCAAAACCTATTTTGAATAGTTTCCACGGTTCGAATTCCATGGAAGCTACTCCACTTTCAAGGGATTGCCATGGGACTTCCGTGGAGGGAGGAAGTGGCACATCCATCCACATTTCGTATCTTTAGTTCCATGGCAGTGTCTTTTTGCGCTTCCATGGAAGTACAAAATGTGTAGCTTCCATGGAAGTCGTATCAGCTTCTATGGAAGGAAGTAGACCCAACTTCATGGAAGCTGATTTATGCTCACAAGAAACCGCTACATATTATATTTGTCAAATAGTCTTGTGTGGGAGATTGTCCACGGCTGAGGTTTCTGTTTGTATCGCAACATCTGAGCCTTGTTTCTTAATCGCGGGTGCTAACTGTGTCTTAGGGTTAGTTTGGTCGGCAGTGTTGACTTGTCGTCCAACCCCTCCGCCCAAGCACAAGAAGAACAGAAATAGCAATGTTTTCCCCACCACTTGTTGCTCTGTACACTTTGTAATGCGGTGCTGTTGAGTTGGTGGTGAACGAAGAGATTTCCTTGTTTTCGTTGGAAAATAAATGAAATACCTATACATTCAGGTAGCCTTTCGCTCACGCTATGGATTCATTGCTAATATATCTTTGACTTGTTTCTATAGAGATGGATTTGTTGTGTGATATTAAGAAAAAAAAAAAAATACCTCTGCCTCGTCCGCGTCGTCCCTGATCATGACAGTCTGGCTTTGGACGCCCTCCTTGAGAACCATAGTCAGCGCAGTCCACCCTTCTGGTGCTCCTGCCCCTCCTGTAGCTGGCTCTGCCAGCGGCAGACGAGAGGATGCCGTAGGATTCACCGATGTTGCGGGCTCAGCGTTGGAGCACCACCAGCAGACACTCCAAACGATGGCCGATTTGAGAAGTTTGGAAGCAGCAGAAATGCGCGGAGATCGAAAGATCGATGCCATCGATTTATGTAGCCTGACGTCGCATCTGCCGTAATGGCATTTCGCGTGCACTGATGTCCCGAAGTATTACGGCGTACAATGCCCCGCTCTCCGCTGTGCTCACGGGGAAACAACTGCTTATGTTATACACAGCAGTCCGCGGCAGTCTGCTGCTGCTGTAATAACTCAACAAAGCTAACTCCGAGCGTCTGCAGTAGAACCAATCAATGCACCTTGGCATATATGGCCTTGTGCACGCTTGCGATGTGAAGAGTTGACTTGCTCTAACGTAAGGATCCTTCAATGGTATTTTTCACCAGCTCTCGCCGCCGAGATCGCCGTGGTTCCCCAAGGACTGCATCTGATCCAAAACCGCCCATCGGGAGATTTCGGAGATTCGGGGGGCTCCGCGGGAGATTGGTCTTTGACCAATAACCAGAAACGGGTGTACCCGGGTCCTTCATCACCACTTTAGGGTACAGTTAGAAATCAACACGCTTGCACCCCCAGGCTGTTAGCTGATTGGCCGAAAATTTTTTTACCCATTTCTGAAGAAACCGCCATCGGGTACAACTTCCGCTGGAATTAGGACCCTCTGGTGTGACCGATATTGGTTACTGGTGTACCCGGAAGAGGTCAATATTGTACCCAGAAATGGTCATATAATCCCGGCGCCCGACGCTCTAGCATAAAACCCGCAGAACAAAACGTGTAGTACCGCACATACCGTGTACCGCACATACAGAACCACAACCAAACCACCAAAAACGCTCGCTCGTTCATCGTTCATGGGCACCGCCTCCATAGGATACCGGTCCTTCTCAACAGAGGGTCGGACTCGCTTGACGCGCGAGTACTTCGTTGTGGTACTGATCAGTGAAAGCACACACAGAGAGAGAGGCAAAGAGAGAGAGAAAAACGGGCACGACCTGCCTCGTGCATCATCATGCTTCCGGGCACAGGACACACAGGACACAGACAGCGGTTTATTGGTTTTGCCGCGATCTACGGCGGATGCTGTCGGAGATTGGTGTCGTCTTGATTTTCAAGTGTACCCTGAAATGGTGATAATCTATCCGGGTATACCCGTTTCTGGTTACTTCTCTTGAACTTTTGTCGGTGGCTCCAGGATTTGGATCTTGGATGTCCTCACTATCGATTGGGCGGGTAGACCTCCAATCGACGGTGAAGTGTATTTTTATGCTTGCGCCCAGGATCCACGCGCTGGATGCTTGGTGTTATGTCGTTGTTGAGAACCCGTACCCCATGCTTCTCGGCTGTCGCACCCAACCAAGCGAGCTAGAAAAAAAAAAAACGCCCGAAGAAGGAACACTTCATCAGCAAGTAGTACTCCGTTCGATACCTGCTCTATACACCAGTGGTGGGGTGCGTCCTACTCTGCCCACAATCTCTCGCGCCGGGTGTTCTGTTGCTATGAGTTCTATGCCATTACATGTATATCGTGTACAAGCTACAGTCTCGACGACAGTAGACTAGACAAGAAGAAGACTACAAAAACAGAGTGTCTGTGTCGTCGTCAGTCTTCTTGTCGTCCCTTCCACCCCCGCCAACCGTCAGTCTCAGGGTGGCAGCAGAGCAATGCTACGGTAGGGGGGACAATTTTTAAGACATGGATCACATGCTGTCGCCCGACAAGGCCCATATAAATGCTCGTAATTCTCTCAATTTTTGCATTTCAAGGAAATCAATTCTTCCCAGGCAGCCGCCTGGCGTATATCTCGCGGTCAGGAACTTGTGCGCAACAACGGACATCGGTCGTATGAAGAGAAATAAGTGCACATGCTACGGTTGTGGACGTATCTCCGTTTTTTTAGTTGTCCTCCCCCGCGTGTGTGTCTATATTTGTTTACATCGAACACGTTAACCGGTTTTGTGCTAGCGTACACTACTTTTAGCATCGATCGCGCCAACCACTGACCAATGAGAATGCGTCAGTCTCAGTGCTGCGGCTGAAAAAGTAAAACGCTTGGTGTGAAGGCCATGATCTGACACGACGTGGGGGGCGCATGGGGGAGGCTATACAGGCTCGTCCAGCATTTTACTTTTGGCCTGTTCTATCTCGATTTTTAGCTATGACTGCGCTGTTGGGCGCATGAAGAAGCGAACACGTTAACCGGTTTTGTGCTAGCGTACACTACTTTTAGCATCGATCGCGCCAACCACTGACCAATGAGAATGCGTCAGTCTCAGTGCGGCTGAAAAAGTAAAACGCATGGTGTGAAGGCCATGATCTGACACGACGTGGGGGGCGCATGGGGGAGGCTATACAGGCTCGTCCAGCATTTTACTTTTGGCCTGTTCTATCTCGATTTTTAGCTATGGCTGCGCTGTTGGGCGCATGAAGAAGCGGCAAAGGTCTGATGGTGGGACAACGCGAACAACAAATTCATGAATTTGGCAAAACAAACTCATGGTGACCTGAAGAAGCTGCTGCAGAAGGAGAAGAGGAAGAATCGCCGCGGAGGCAGTCGAAGCCATCGTGGAAGCAGTATCGACGCAGGTCCAGGACTCGATCCATGGGCCTCGCCGACGCAACCAACGGTCGCCCCCGAACCCGCTGAATGGACTTGGCGGACGGCACGGTATGATATTTGCATCACCTTCAAGAAGAAAGCGCGCGTCTGTACATAGTTTCGTTGACATAGTGTGTGGTCCGTTGCAGGCACCAAACAGGTGTCGTATTCCGGAGGAGGTCAACTTATTGCGATGGTGTCGAGAGGTTTCATGCTTGGCATTTCGACGGTGAAGACGATAAGATGAAACACATCCTGTGTTCAACCTAGACTAAACTGGTTTCGAGCTGACAACAAATGGAAAGAAGAAAAGAAGACCTGTCTACATATACCCAATACAGAAATTCCAGCCGCAAAGCTCCCACATACTCATACAGTAAGTGACACTTGCCTATCGGACATCCCATAGCGGGCATCTTGACTAGAGTGATAAGCTGTGCCACCAGTGAAATCCTACACGTCGTCAGCTCGAACCCTGTGCCTAAGATGGAGAGGCCACCATCATACATGAAGATTCTGTAGACACAACAAACAACCGCAATATTTAGCTTGGTATCATAGCCACTCTTTTTCTTGTTTACAATGCCAGCCACATGAAATTCCGTCCTAAGTTCATAGGTCTAAGGGCCCCTCACAAACACATTCTTCACGCACAGATACATACACCGGGTCACCCTCAGTCAGTGTAGCGGGCAAGAGTCGATCCTCCTAACCTTCAATATCTCGCCACACAGAGCGTAACCCCGAAGTCAAAGCCGTCTGCCTCCGATACTACCACCCGCATATGCGGTCGAAGAAAAACCGTGTCCTTGTCAGAGCTCCATTCCGAATATCTTTCGTCTGGAAGAAAATAGACCCTTTCATTTCGTACCGGATTCCAGAAGACAGCGCGATATGGGCATGCCCAAACTCACGCACACAGGAGCAACTCAAACTCTGGCGACTACTGCTGCATCTGCTTGATACTTCGGGCGAGCATATATGAGATCGTGAAGTCGCCTCGAGACCTGCTCGCCCACGTAGTGGAAGCTGAGGGACTCTTGTGAGCAACACTCGCGGCCGAACTTAGGATCAATGCCCTGAATGATGTACCACGCACAAACCACGCATCCTGGAAAAAGACGACCCTCTGGCTTCTTGGGCATGCGATACCTGCAAAGATCCGACCCAGCCACAGTAGAGCGCAAAGAGACATGTATTCTTCACGGTAACTTCCTCTGAAGAAAATGCAGGATGTGACACATGGCAACCATCGAAATAAAGCGTCGTGCGTGGATAAAGATGTGGAAAACTAAACGGTGAAACACGTCCCCTTCCTGGGGCAGAGACTGCCGCCTTCGTTCATTAGTGGCGGACGGAGGGATTACCACTCAAACTGTTGGAGAACAGACCCTCGAATTAGCGGTCAGACGTCACGACTGAACATTGTAGCGGTACGTGCGAAACCGGACTCAAAAATTCCATCTGAAGGTTTTGTTCTAGACTTCTGCCGTTCGTCTGCCTCTATGTTTGGGGAGGAAAACGCGACCGTGGTCAAGTTTCGGCCTAGCGGAGAGGGTCAACTCTACGACTAAACAGTTGCAGAGAGAATTCCTCGCTTTGCGCCTTTCTTCGTCTCCACCCCCCGTCAACCCTTCCGCCCCGTAATAACGGATACCTCTCGTTACACTACCAGCACTACTCACCAGGATACCTTCCCAGTGTTTTGCAGCATGTGACTGGCAGGCATCATCGTCCAAGTGGTTCGGCAACTGCCCGACAGACGCCTGGTTGAGCACATATGAGGGTCCCCCGTTGTTGTATATGCGTTTCTCGCCGATAAAACGGAAACGCCTTCCGAGGCACATTGGATTTGGGCCCCCGTTTTCCAACCCTCCCGCCGCATGTTTGATATCATCCGATAGCAGGTACTTGGTACGGGGAAGAAGGGGGGAAAACCAACGTAGTATTTGGCAGTTAAGATAACATATGGTGAATTGATGTCCAGGAGTCTATGTCGGGCTCCGTGATGTCATCCTCTTCACATAACACACGATTGCCTCAGGGGACAACCTGCTTACTCTTCGTGTGCGAGCGATGTTATTTCATTACAGACAATTTGCGAGTGCAAGCATTACATTAGACATAGAAGTACAATCGCAAGTCGCCGTTGAATAAAACATGTGACTACACAATCCGGTCCCCGAGTAGGAAGGTTTCGGAACCTAAATCTTCGTCGTGGTACTCTAACACACCGTTACCAAGTTCTCCACGATAAGGGAGAGGTCGTCACCGCCAAGAACGAACCAGTCGAAACCGTTCTTTCAGCGGAAGTTGATGCACTTCCCCATTGTCCTGGCCTTCTGCCACATGTTGCCATATTCTTCAGGGCCTTCGTGCTTGATTTTAAACCTTATTTGTGGCGCCCGAACAACATTTTGCGCCCAGGCAACATTTTTGACAGATTATTTCGGTGATGATATGCGTGCTCAAGGAAAAAACGCACGCCACGGAAAATAGGCTCGTCTGGTCGTTCTTATTGGAAATGCGACGCTCATTAGACTATCCGGGATAGTTCATCTTTAGATACTCTGTAGCCCTTGCGCAGCCCGCCTTCGCTGCACACAGTGTAGTCCCGAGCCAACGAAAACCACGATAAAGATTCTCACGTATGAAGTTCGATGTCAATGACGTCGCTGAGAGCCACGAACCCATCGCAGTGCGACGCCCATGTCTCCTTAACCGCCTGCAATTCAGCACCCCATGCGAACGCCCCCCGCACAGCAGCATAAACAGGAAAGAAAATCGTGCATGGTGAGCAAGGTACCGTGCATGTCTTGGCTCGCAATATCACTCCTGCCGTAGGAATCTTCCTCGAGAAATATCCTTCTAGACTACTGGCGACTTATCGAGTATAGTGATGTGCTAGGGGTTGAGCAATACTCGCGGAAAGACTCCAACAACATTTGGAAATTTCCGCGGTATCACGTACGGTCGTCGGTAGTCGGAGGTTGAGCATCAACCTGCCGAGATCTTAGTTTGAAAAACGGCACGGCTATTTGGGACAACGTTGTCCCAAATGTTTATTTGGGACAACACGTCTAACTCGGCGTAGAAAGCTCGGATCGACCTCAAACCAAGTTTGTTGTAATCCTACTGGACACAGCTTTCACGGAATGTATTTTGAGTCCACAACGGAGCCGGGGCCGAGGAGATAGAGCCTAAAAAAGGGGCTCCGTGGCTTCGGTAAATCCACGTTTTCCTCCATTACTCGGCCCAACCACCTCCGAAACACCTCCAAAGATCTTTGTTGAGCTTGTATGATCCACAGCTATCATCCAAGCCATCGGGTGGCCTTACCCGACCTGTACATGCGGAGATATGCCCTCCCCAGGGGCACCGCAGGATTATTGGGAGGTGTCCTGTACATATCCGCGTCGTTACATCGATGCCCACGCCCCGCCAAGATGGGAAAGGGCCTGAGATGAAGTTGACCGGCTCCCAGCTTTCATTCAAGCCCTTACATAGCCTCGACCGACATGTGGTTGCCGAGATACACCCTCGCAAGGGGGCACGGCGAC